AGAGGAGAAAGAGGCTGAGAATGAGAAATGGACGGAGGATGGTTTGAGATAATGTTTGGGATAATTTATTTTACCCCCTCAAATCTTTAATGTTTTCAAAATAGTCCCCCCCTAAATCATAGAAATTGTTATTGTAACCCTCAAATCTAACTATTATTACCGATTTTCCTTTTACATCCTTGAGTTCAGAGATAATGATTTGATTATTTCAATATTAGTCCCTCAAATCTTCAATATTTCTAAATTAGTTCCTCAAATCTTTAATATTTCAAAATTACTCACTCAAACATGGAAATTTCTATTACATCCCTCAAATTAATCACAATATTTACAATTAGGTCCCCTGGTTAACACCGGTTAGATTTAAAAAAATATTTCTTTAAATCTAACTATTATTACCAGTTTTTCTTGATTTTTAATTATAAAAAATCCAACCCGTTTGGACCTAATTGACCCATTAAAACGTGAAAACACAAATCCATTAAAAACTTCTTTTTCCTCCAACAGATATCATCTTCGCTCTAACTCAATTTTGATGGATCTTTCTCCTCTTTGTTAGACCTAGAGGGGGGTGATTAGGGTCTTATGCTAATCTAATCCGATTTAAATGCCAATTAAAATTAATTAACAAGTTGTATTCTTGCAAGATAGATATACAAGAGTTATAAGCAAGAATAAGCAATATACACAAAGTGATATATCCTATATGATGAAATATATATGCAAGGATATATAAACTAAGAGTGATATAAACATAAACAAGATAAACAAGATAGTGGATAATATGAACTAAGAGTAAATGACAATGGCGATATAAGATATGAGCATGAATATAAATGAACGCCAAAGCATACTCAAACACACTATATGATCACGGAGTTCGGACCTTCCGTCCTACGTCTCCGCTCCCCACTCCCGGGGAGAAATCCACTAACACAATCCGGTTTGGAAGCCGGAACTTCTTCTACACACTCGGTTTTCTAGCTAACCGAAAACTCTACAGCACACACTCTTGCAATCACACTCTACACCCACTAAGTGTTGGACCTAGCCGTGTCTCCCTCAAGTGCTCGGTTACAACCTCTCCCTAGGCACGTCAACCGACGCCACTCCTCTTGGGACGATCCCCGACTCTCACCACACACTTCTCACTCGGTGTACAAGTGTATTACAAAGTGATCTCACAATTAAGCACAAATACAGTAAATGATTGTTCTCTCTAACAAGGTGAGAACTCAATTTAGCACAACTCTAAGTCACAAACCCACAACCCCAAATTATACTATGAATGTAAATACAATAAGCTCAAAAGGTTGTGTGTGAACAAAGAGATATAAATCAAAACTAAACTCAATGTAGTTCTAGCTTAATAACAATGATAATCAAATATATAAAAAAGCTAGAAATAGAGTTTAGAAAACTTCTCAATATATCAAGAGTGGAGGGAGAAGAGTTGGATGCCCAAACACCAATAGATGATCTCCTCAAGCTCTTGTAGAATTGAATCACAAAAACAAACTCTCAATTTGCTTAAAAGCTTTTTAAACACACTTAAACCAAACTAAAACCCTTGTTAAAAACTTTATTAAACTTGATTAAAAAATCTCTTGGTTAGTTTGAGAGTTGAAGGCAATGGGGTACTTATACCCTCTCTCAACTCAGCCAAAAAACTGAGCAAAAGACAAAACAGCCCCAAGGCAACGGTCATAAAAAGAGCCGTTGGAACTGTACTGGACAGGCGTCGGTCGACCGATCCGGTCGACCGAAAAAGCTCTCGGTCGACCGGACCGGTCGACCGACCAAAAACCCCAGCAAACAGCTCAGAGAAAGAGCCGTTAAAAGACAACGGTCATATTGTCGGTCGACCGAAAATCCCGTCGGTCGACCGATGAGAGCAAAACCACGAAGAAAACTTTCTGGATCATCGTCGGTCGACCGGTGTGGTCGACCGATGGAGTTTTTCGGTCGACCGGACCGGTCGACCGACAGACTCTCTGTCGCCCAGTGAGAATATGAACTCATGTTCGGTCGACCGGTGCGGTCGACCGAAATCTGACATATTCAAAAACTGTTTTGCTGATTTTAAAACCCTGTTTAAAAATATCAAATAAATTCAGAAAAATGTAAAACTTTGGGGAATGATTGTAGACATGATAATACACATGCTACAAAAACTGGTTTTCTAAAAAGACTTCCCAAATGAGAAATATCATCATTTTGCAAAATAGTCCAAAACATGAAAATGTAAACATATGAATCTTGACATTTTAGCTTAACCATGTTTTGAAACATTACAAAATGATTTTGTAGACTTAATAAAAGATGTATATGATTATTGTTAAGTCTATAAACCAAGAAAACAATATTTTCACAAATACAATAGAAAGTACAACGTATGAGTATGTATATGAAAATATATTTGTTTCATATCTATGAAATTAAACCAAAACAACTTATCCACATAGAAAACAAGCATGTATACACATTTTTTGGAATTTATTTGTAAAAACTTTGTTTGTGGATAAAACTAAAAACCAAGATGTATATGTATATAACTATATATATATATACTAAGAAACTAATAAATGTGTGTGTGAATATAATATTGAGCTTAGAGTATATAACACACATAATATAAACCCTAAACTAAATTACCCAAGCTAGATCTTGATCTTCAATAAGCTCTTCTAGGTAATCTCTCGGATGAAGCTTTAACTTGGATCTTGAACTTTGAATAGCAAGGCTTAACCGACATTCCGCCAACCTCCTTTGGATATGATCGTTGAAGCGCAATTCCATCCATCCTCCAACTACGTTGTTTGTCTACAAAACATAGGAATGCACAAACACTAGACAAACAACATTAGTAATAAATTGTTTGTTAAACATCATCAAAACAAGAAGGCCAACAATCTCCCCCTTTTTGATGATGACAAACAATTTACGAAAAGAGATATATGCATGAAAGAAAATGAATATATAAATATAATTCACATGCATATAAACAAACAAGATTGATATACTCATAATATTTCTCCCCCTTTGACAACATCAAAAAGGGGACAAAAGAATTAAGAGAGCGAAAGCTCCCCCTACCAATAAGCATAGGTGAGTATCAAACAAGTATAGGGATTGCTCCCCCTATCAAAAAGCCATATAGAATATATATGAAATGAAGTGCAAGGCAAACATGTGAGCAAGCATAGATGAAAAATATGCTAAATATTACTCACATACAAGAGGATAATGAGGACACATAGATATATCATTTATGAAAGAAGTGTCTCATTACACAATTATAAAAACATAGTATATAAAAAATAGATTTATGAAATCAAAGATAGAACATGAGAATCATGCAAAAAGTTTTCAAATGAAAACAAAGTAATTAATGAAATCATAAATCAAGATTTAAGTTTTTTTTTTTTTTTAAATGTTTGATCCAAAAAAAAATTTCTTTTGTAAAATTTGATCAAATCACATATAGAATACATTATAAGGCACGAATAGATGATCCATGAGCACAAACATATAAATATCATCATATAAGTGAAATATAATGAATTCAAAGCAACAAATCAAAACAAAATCTTTGACAAAAGAATTTTAAGAGAGGCAACAATATATCAAGCTCTTAAGCTTGTTCTAACCCATATAATCATTCTAGCATCCGGTAAACATGATTTGGGAATAAACACCCAATAAACCCGGGGGGTTATATAAATGCAAACCTCTCATTAAAGCAAAACCAATGATCATGAAAACAAAAGAATTTAGCCAATATAAGAAATTGTTTTCATAAGAGTTTTAAATACATTTTTCAAAAACCAAGAAAAATTAAAAACACTAAAATTCTTGATTTAAAAAATTCATTTTGGCACCCAAAAATTCTTGGTGCCGGATTGTTTAGGGACATGACCCCTATCATTCAGGCTCAAAGCCTTAGGGTTATGAACCCTCTTAGGCGCATATGGTGCACGAACACGGTCATAACAAAAATTACTCAAATAACCCTTCCGATTATAATAAGTACAATGGAAAGGAAGCATTTGCTTATGTTGACCAAACGGTTGTGCACGGGAAACATTAGAAACATTTGCAAACATGGATGGTCTTTTAAAATTGTTTTGCAAATGTGAAACTTTCTTTAAATCAAAACAAAATTTGGCCAAATGACCAAATCTACCACAATGATCACATCTATACACATGAGCATGCTTGTGATGAACTTTATGAGTGTGTGCATGTACATGTGTGTGTGATGAAGAAGCCTTATGAGATGCACAAGAAGCATTGATATTACTATCTTTAGATTTTTGTGCATCATAGCAAAATTTAGATAAATGGCCTTTACGACCACAAATAGAGCACTTATAAATTTTGCTATACATGTGTGCATGATGTGTGATATGTTTAGATGTTTTAGCATGAGACTTAGCACACATGTTCATAAGCTTATCATGATTAACAATACATGTTTTAAGGGTTGAATCTAAAGATGATATGTGATCCTTAACATGATTCAACTCATCATTATGCATACAAGTATTGTTATTAGAAGTGGAACATATATTGTTATTTATAAAAGAAGCAATATCATTTTGTATGTTCTCTACTTCTAACATGGCATTATTTTTAACATGAGATAAGCTAGTGATGGATGAGGTTAATTTTTTATTTTTCAAATTTAACATATCATTGTTTTCTTTAAGCACAATATTTTCTTTTACAATGATATCAAATTTGGACACTAGCAACTCATGATCGGATTTTAATTCTACATGCTTGCTTTTAAGATCAATAAAATTATTTTGCAATTTTGTATAGGCATGAGATAATCTTTCATATGCACAAGCGAGTTCATAAATAGATAAATCATTT